CCACCGCTTGTCAGGTACCGGGACTGGCCAGATGTAGAGACTGCCAATCACTGACACTCTCCTCTCAGGAGCTCTCGTGGTAGGAGAGCCGAATCCCTCCCCCATGCCCTTTTCACCAATTGTTCCATTATTGAGCTACAAGGGTTTCTTATAACTCTCACTCCTAGCCATAGGCTATATGGGCTGCTACATTTCCCCCCTTTATACACAAACAAGATAATTTCTCATATGGCAAGGGCAGTTGTTGTTGTTCAGCCCTTTCTCTTTTGCTAGGCGAAAGAGTAAAGAATTTAAGATGATCTTAAGGTGATTTTTCAACAGTCCAAATGCCAGGTAAGGGCTCTTTAAGTGGCAGAGCCCTGTATAGATTCAAGCTTCAGCTCCGGCTAGGGGAAAAGACGGTGATTGTAATGTTAATTTCTTCAAAGGTCTTTCAAACTAAGAGAAACCTTGGCTAAGAAAATTTACAATACAAAGGCCCTGCCTCCTCAGGATGCTTTTCCTTTACTGCTTGAATTTATAATTAACAAACAAAGGGTCCCGCTTTTTCTTGCGATCTTTGCAAGCGAGAATCCTGCCGCCTTTCCAGAGGCCTCGCTACTCACAGCCGTTGGTAGCATAAAATCCTGCTGCTTGGAACAGGGATTCTGCCTTTCCAGAGGCTCTTGGTAACGGAGATTCTATCGCTTTCTCCGCCCCTGTGCTACTTCTGCTTTTAAGTAGCTGGAGACTCAAGCTGTCGCCTTTGCCACTTTCTGCCTTCAGAAACAGGCGAACAAAGACACTGCTCTTCTTACGGAGTTTTTCCTTCCTAGTTGATTTCTAATGGAGTTCCCTAATTTCTTTTTAGCATGGCCGAAGGTCCTGTCTTTCTAATGCAGGCTCCCCTTCGGTTTTCCTCCTGTTTCCTACATTTCTCTAATCAAAACTTCCTCCTCCATTGTCATCCGTTGGTCTGATTTAATTTCCCCATATTTGTCCCTGGGGCACCATAGGTCGGGCACGTTGTGGGCAGGATTTCTCCTCTGGCGCAACCCACTGTGGGCAGGATTCTCCGTTGGCATAAAGTTGAATGAATTATACTGTTTTACCAAAGAATAGTTTGAAATAAAGGTGTTCAAGAAACTGCATTGTTTTAACTTTCATGCTTATTGAACTGAGAGCGGCAGTCCTCTGCCCTGGGGCAGACACCTGGAGACTCAAACTTCTTTGTTTCCCTGGATCACTTAAAGAGAAACTATTATTTTCATTGGTATTTCCTATTCTTTTTTTTTTTTTTTTTGAGACGGAGCCTCAAGCTATCCCCCTGGGTAGAGTGCCGTGGCATCACGCTCACAGCAACCTCCAACTCCTGGGCTCAAGCGAGTCTCCTGCCTCAGGCTGTAGCTGGGACCACAGGCGCCCACCACAACGCCCGGCTATTTTTTGGTTGCAGCCATCATTGTTGTTTGGCGGGCCCGGGCTGGGGATTCGAACCCGCCACCTTAGGTGTACGTGGCTGGCGCCTTAGCCGCTTGAGCCACAGGCGCCGAGCCATCCTATTCTCTTCTTTTAGCAGTTTTTCTCCTATGGCCTAGCTTCCCACCTTTATGGTATTTGATGTTAACTGGGAGATTTCTCAGCTGATCTTCTAGCTGCTTAATCTGAATTGTTATGCTGATATAGCATTTATTTGCTTTAACTAAGACTGTTTCATCTGATCTTTTAGCGGTTATAGCTCATTTGCCATGCTTTTTCTCTTCTGGCTTTTTCTGTCGGCCTTTTACTTTTTGTAATCTTCCCCTTTCAAATTGAACCTTTTATTGCCTTAAAGGGACAGGGGGTGTCAATCATTCCAAAGCTACTTCCTGCTGAAAGTGGATGTTGATATAGGGGAAGGCAAATAAAGGTTCCTTTCCCTATCTTGGTTAACTCTTGCAACCTATTCCCAAACTTCTTTTCTCTTTGCTGTTTTGCTGAAGGCTTTTGAGTCTAAAGGCTTTTGTTTACTAAAGGTTCTTCTTACTCCGAGTTCTGTCTTTTCTCTTTCCCTTTTATTTCTCTCTCTTTGGGGGGGCGGGGCTGTGTTTGAACCCACCACCTCCAGCATATGGGACTGGTGCCCTACTCCTTTGAGCCACAGGGGCCGCCCTTTCCCTTTTCTTTCTTTCTTTCTTTTTTTTTTTTTTTTTGACAGAGCCTCAAGCTGTTCCCCTAGGTAAAGTGCTGTGGCATCACAGCTCACAGCAACCTCCAACTCCTGGGCTCAAGCGAGTCTCCTGCCTCAACGCCACAACCCGCCACAACGCCTGGCTATTTTTTGGTTGCAGCCATCATTGTTTTTGGCGGGCCCAGCTGGATTCAAACCCGCCACCTTAGGTGTATGTGGCTGGCGCCTTAGCCACTTGAGCCACAGGCGCTGAGTCCCGCTTTTATTTCTAAAGGCTTTTATCCCAGGGAGCTCACTGAAAAGTTGTTCTGAGCCACTCCTCGGAAGAAGTAGTTAGAATTTGGAAAGACAAAGCTCAGGAAAGACGAGGAAAAACCAAATGACAAAGGCTTGTTGTTGGCCGTCTTTTTCTTAGATATTTCTTTTCCCTCTCTCTATTTCTATTTCTCATCTCTCTCTTTTTTCTTTTGTTTGCTGGCGACTTTTATTTACCAAAGCTTATTTCCCTCTCAGTCTGCATTCATCGAATCCTGCCGACTACACCACTTGTCACAGCCCACCACTGCCACCGCTTGTCAAGGCCTGGGACTGGCCAGGTCTCCACCCAGCTTATCTAGGTTCCAGGTCTCCGCCCAGCTTATCTAGGTTCCGGACACGGAGGGACCGCTGAGCTACCTTGCTTGGGAACAATTACCCTTAGGTGCCTGAAGGCTATTTACTCTAGACAAAGAGAGAGAAAGAGTCTTTGAGAGAAAGCAGCACTCTCAATAGAAGAATGAGTCTTAGCAGCCTTTTGCAGAGAGACGCCGTGCGCGAGTTCTGCAGGCAGGAGAAGGAAATGAGTCAGAGCGAGCGGGTCCGTGAGAGGATAGCATGCTCCCGCGACTGCCTACTCCTGCTGCTACTTACAGAGGTGATCTTGTGGCTATTTGCACCACAGATGTAGAGACTGCCCATGACTGATACTCTCATCTCTGGAGCTCTCGTGGTAGGAGAGCTGAATCCCTTCCCATGCCCTTTTCACTCAGGTGTTCCATTATTGAGCTACAAGTATTTCTTATAACTCTCACTTCTCCTAGCCATAGCCTATACGGGCTGCTACAGGCAGCCACCACCCATCAGTCAGTAGCCATCAGGAGGGAGGCAAGACCCTCCACCAGCAAAAAGATTAAGACTTGCTAAAGGCCCAGATGATTGTAGGCATTTTTTGAAGTATTTTTAATCAAGGTATGTATCTCTTTTTGTAAGGCAAAATCCTATTGCACATAACAGACTACATTATCCAGCAATTAGATTTCTTCACCACCTACAGCCCTTAGCAGAACAGTTATGCCACTTAGTTTTCCACTCTCTCAACTAGACAGCCAATACAGGATGCCCAATATGGAATGTCAGATAACAACAAATGAGATTTTTAGTGTTTTTATGAAACAGAGTCTCATTTTGTTGCCCTTGGTAGAGTGCTGTGGCACCGTGGCTCACAGCAACCTCAAACTCTTGAGCTCAAGTGATTCTCTTGCCTCAGCCTCCCAAGTAGTTGGGACTACAGGTACCCATCACCATGCCTGGATTTTTTTCTTTCTTTCTTTCTTTTTTTTTAGAGACAGGGTCTTGCTCTTTGCTCAGGCTGGTCTTGAACTCTGAGCTCAAGGAATCCATCCACCTCGCTTCCCACAGTGCTAGGATTACAGGCATGAGGCATCACATTAGACCTTAGTGTATGTTCTATATCCTCCTCTCCTTTACCATCTCCTTTCATCCCTCCTGGATTTCCCCAGCATCTCATACCTACCTCCCTCTTCTTCCTCTGCTGGACATAACACCATACATCTCTCCTCCACTGTGTGGTGTCTCAAGTGTCATCCTGTACTCACTGTAGTGCCCCCAGGACCAAATGCCATTCTGTTTAACAGATTCATTCTCCTTATATGGCAACTGAAGTTTTAAACAGCACCCCACCCCAAACTTCTCCAACACACACACACACACACACACACACGAGTTCAAGGGATTTTTTTTTTATATTACAAAAATTTTACTGCAGTCTTTTCTCCTTAATTATATTCAGATATTTTGGAATTAATATCTTAGACTTCTTTCTAATGCAAATTAGTCCATCTCATTTTTTTTTTTTTTTTTTGAGACAGAGCCTCAAGTTGTCACCTTGGATAGAGTGCCATGGCGTCACAGCTCACATCAACCTCTAACTCCTGGGCTTAAGTGATTCTCTTGCCTCGGCCTCCCAAGTAGCTGGGACTACAGGCACCCCCCACAATGCCCAGCTATTTTTTGGTTGTAGTTGTTATTGTTGTTTGGTAGGCCCGGGCTGGATTCGAACCTGCCAACTCTGGAATATGTGGCTGGCACCTTAGCCGCTTGAGCTACAGGAACTGAGCCCATCTCATTCATTTTTAATAAAGGGTTCTCCTTTAGAATGTACTAACATGTTATGGGAATTGCAGTATTGATAATACTGAAATTAAGTTGGTTATAAATTTCTTCAACCACAAACCTTGCTGTAATGAACAGGGATGTATGAACAAAAATAATGAGAACACTTGCTCTGCCACTTATTAAAACATCATAATAATAGAACAACCAAAATGGTGAGCACCACTGGAAGAATGAAGTAGTAAAAACGGGAAGTCCATGTATCAGGATCTCCTGCATCACAGAAGTGGCATTTCAGATAGAAGGATAAAGAGTGGATGATTCGACAAATACTGCAAAGACAACTTGGTCTCACATCCGTGCGTCCCAAAATAAAATGTTACATCAAAAGCTTGAAACACAAAAAGAACCAGAAAAATATAAATTATGATAAATGCGACTTTGCAGTGGGGAAGGTCTTTGGAAATCTGACACCAAAAGTGGAGAAAGATTTCACCATAGATCTCTTTGACGACACAGAAGCTTTAATACTTTGTAACCCCCAACACCTCATATACAAAATTATAAGGCAAATCACAAACTCAGGGAAAAAACTTTGCACCCTCTGGGAGAGGGCATACGTAAATAGCTTTAAAACTTAAACTGAAAAAGGTAGCACCCAACAGAACAAAGACCTTGATAGGCTTATCCCAGTTAAAAAATAACAATGCCTGAGATACATATTAAAAAATGTGCAAACTTGATAATTATCAAATAATGCAAATCAAAGCAATTTAATGCCATTATTTCTTGTGTATCAGAAAGTCGAAGGTTGAAAAGAACCATAATCAGCCATCCGGCAGGTGGGAATAGAAGCTGCACGGTCCTTCTGGAAGGGAGAGGAGCTGGGCCACTCAGATTAAAAGCCCTTTAGTCATTTTTCTGGTTTCCTTTGTTCAGTAATTTTTCCCAACTTTCTATAGCAAATGTGGATTCTGGATTCCTCTCCCTTCCCAATATTCCCCTGGTCCGGGCCTGGCCATCACTTTAGCCATTCATGGCCCAGGTCAGCAACTTTTCTACTTGACCTGAGGCCTTGCTGTTATTTCTGTGACACTCTGCAGGAAGCTCCCAAATAGCCTCTTGCACACCCCTGGCCACACTCATTTCGTGGAGTGACAATCAAGGCTGGTCTCGGTCCTCCCATCCCCGAGCCTGCACCGCTCTTCCCTGTCCTCACCCCTATGGCACCCACTTGGTGCCTTCTGACTCTGCACCTGGGCAAGAATCGTGTCCTGCATCAGTGCCTGCTGGGGACAGGCAGCCCACTCAAGTCCATAAACACAATCAGACACCTCTCAATATCCAAGTAGGTGTTGTTGGACCCCAACTGTACTCTAAGTATAAATTAGTGAAGCAAGAAGAAAAAATATCAAAAGGAAACCTGCTAAAAAAGAAAATGAGGGGGATGAGGGAAGGAGTATTATGGAAAGCACTAATAATTCACAACCTAAAAATAAGTTAACTTGAACAGTGTGTGTTTGAGTGGGACAGCGTGAAAGAGGGGACTTGGGGACAGCAGCAGGGCTGACTATCTTCCTAGGTCTCTAGCTCCCTGGACAGGAGGCCTCCCTCTGGCTCTGCAGAGATGACTGTGGAAAGAGCGGAGGCTGGCAGGAGAGACAGTCAAGGCGGGAAGGAAGGCAGGACTTGTCTGCCCAGGTCTGGAGGCTCTCAGCACACCTGCCCAGGCCTGCTGACATCCCAAGGGGGCAGTGACAGGTAGTCCTGCTGCTTCAGGGCTTTGAAGAGCTGGATGGCTGGCACCTGGGCCATGGCCTGGCCTGGGGGCTTCTTGATCTGAAAAGCCTGGTCTAGATCCATGACCTCAGGACAAAGTCTCGGGGAAGAGGGCTTACTCCGGGGTGAGAGAGACCCAGATCCCAGGCCAGGGAGGAAGCAATAGTCCCCCACCTGCTGCAGGACAAGGAGCCCCTCGGGGTGTGGAGATGCCAGCTCCCTCGGGCTCAGCACAGGGCTGCTGGCCACAAGAGGGGCAGGACTGCCTGGAGGGGACTTGGGAGCCTGGTCCATGGGTGGAGGGAGCTCCACGTAGCCTCCAAAGCCTGGTTGCATGGGAGCTGGTACTCCAGGGGACCCACTGGCCAGCCCAGGACAGAGGCTGGGGTTCTGGTCTGAGCAGTGGCCCAGGGGAGGAGCCAGAGAGACAGATGGGGCTCCTGAGTTTGGGGTGAATAACAGGTCTGCAGAAAGGACATAACCAGAAGCCACAACAGCATCCTCAGGGTCTCCAGAACCTGTGGTCAGAGCCACTTGGCTGTCCTTTGGGCCCTGTTCATCTACCCCTGGCCCAGGCACAGGAGGGGTGGGGCCACCTCCAGGCTCTAGTGAAGGACTCCCCTCAGCCTCTGGGCTGGGTCTTAGCTCCACATCTGTGATCTGGCCCTGCCTCTCCACCTGGGCCAATGGGACCAGTTGCACCTGTCCCCCAGCGGGCAGACACAAGTACTCCAGGGACCCTGAGGGTGGCAGCTGCTGGCTCGGCCCTGTTTGTGGGGGTGCAGTCTGGCCCCCTATATCAGGCAGGGAGTGGCTTCGGGGTGGCCCTAGGTAGGGGCCATTAAAGTCAAAATTGGAAAGCTGGCTCTCAGGCCTGCTGGAGGAGGTGGGCAGGTCTGGCAGGGGGCTGTGGGGCTGCTCTGTAGGACCATCCGAGGCAGCCACAGCCGATCCCAATGATGGATCACAGACGCCTTTAGGGTCCTCTGTGGTAAGAGGTAACACTTCATTGTCCTGGATGCCTACAAAGAACGCCCTGTGGGGAGAAGGTGAGCAGAGATGTTAGAACCACCTGGCAGATGATTTAGCCCATGCACAGGGTCAGGTGGGGTGCGGGGCAGTTCTCTGGCTTCTAGGTCACAGAGGGAATACCTCAGGGCACAGTCTCTGGGGGAGCTGGCACCTGGGACAGGAACACTGGACACTGATTCAGACTCTCCCTGGGTCACACACTCCGTGTTTGGGTCAAGGTCTTCCTCGGCCAGGCTGGTGCCCTTTGCCTTCAACCTTACAGGCCACCCACCATCAGTGCCAGGTTTAGGGCCCAGGTTCACAGGTTTCTTCTTTCTATACCCACAGTGCTACCAATGCTCCCCCAGGAGATGGGGATGAGCTGCCCACACAGGGAAGGGCCTTGCGGCTTTACACCCCAGCCACCGCATGAGGGCTCTGCAGTGTAGCACCTCCCTCTGCTCTAGTCTCCTGGCTGTGGTCAACTCCCTTATCTGTCCCTCTATAACCTGGGAAGAGGAAGTTTTTTCTGATATCCACCTGGAGTGCCTCCTGCTTTAGTGCAAACCAGCCTCTTTGGATCTCTTCACATGGGCCACAGAGGCCTATGGCACTCGAGCCCCTGACGTACACAACATGCCAGCCCCCATCTGCTCCCCAGAGGTCAGGAGCGACCAAGGAGCCTAGACACTCACCTCTCCAGCTCAGGGAAGTGGCTGCCCAATAGCCTCTGGTCAGGGGGAGTTGTGCTGGTGGAAGCCGACATGCTGTGTGAAAGCCACATGCCCCCATTCCCGCCCTGAAAGAGCAGAGACATTTGCTCTGCATGAGGGGGGCTTTAGAGGTGAGGGTGGCAGGCAGAGGCAGACTCAGGGAGCCCCTGGACGGGGGGAGATTCTTCACATTGTCAGAAATAGAAATTGTGAGTTCTCTACTCCGGGGTGTCAGGGCCACCACACTCTATCCCTTCTCCACACTGACCCCAGGGCCCATCCGTAGGCACAGCTGGCACTGCCTGCCCGACCAGGGCTTGCACCATCCTTGAGTCAATGCCCACTCCGTGGTCATCTCAGCCCCCCAAGGTCTCCCCAGTGTCAGGTCCCACCCTCTCAGCTGCCTTCATAAGTGTCCTACCTGCACCCTCAGGGTGCCTTGGGCCTGCAGCCACGCGGCACGAATTGGACAGCTTCAAAACTCAGCTCAGTGTCCTGTTCTTAGGGAGTCATTTTGCCTGGGGACACCCACTGATCCCAGTTGTAGTGATGCCCTCCTCCAGTTCACCCTTCCCTGAGGCATCTACACTCACTCTCTCCAGCAGGCTTGAACTCCAGGCCAGTGGGGCCAGGATTGTACAGCTCCAGGCGCAAAAGGTAGCCCAAGGAGCAACTTCCTGGTCTGGCCCCACTCTCAGAGCTGACAAGGCCCCTCCCCCAGTCCTCCTAGTCCCCACCACCCAAAGCCCATAGGGACAGGGATGGGGAGGCAAGAGCAGAGGATCCTCAGCTCCTTCGCAGATTCTACCTGGAACAGGTGGCTCTTGCTGGGGTTGGGGATGGTCTCCTTCCACTTCTTGTTCAACCTGAAGACACCAGGGAGGTGACAGCCATCAGAAACCTCAGGGCCAGCTGCTTCCGTGTTCATATGCACGGGACACTGAGACCAGGAGGTGGGTGGGAGAAGAGGGACTGGAAGGAGTTGAGCTGGGAGCCCTGGTGGTCCTGGACATCCTGAATCCCACCCCCATCCCACAGAGTCCCCTTACCTGGACCCATAGATGCCACAGAAGCGGAGGGCCAGGAGCACGAAGAGGGTGATGCAGACTAGGGTGAGGGCCAGGACCCAGGTGGGCAGCACTTTGGTGGCCGGGAAAGACAAGGAGCATTAGTGTCCAGGAGGGAAAAGGCTGGAGGCTCAGGAGGTGAATCAGGGTGGGTGGGGTTGGCCCAGCACCCCCTCCAGGATCCTGCTGTATGCAGGCACAGGGCTCTGAAAGCTAACTACCTTGGGGGCTCAGAGGGGAACAGAGGCTGGACACCTGCTAAGAGAAGAGGGCCTTGGTCTGAGCTCCCTATAATGTTTAAAGTTCAGGGAAAGACGCAGGAGGGTTATGTCCTTTCCAGTAGCAGGAGGTGTTATGGGGAAGGCAAAGAGCACAGTCAATGATAGTCCCGGAGGACTTCCTGAAGGAGGCCGCATATAAACTGGGCCTCCATGAACAGGGAGGGTGAGGGGGATGGGAAAAGGCTCCCTGCCAGAGGAGCCAGCTGGTGCAAAGGCCCCTCAGGAGCTCCTGACTCTCCTTGCTGCTCTACCTTGGGCCCCTCTTGGCTGGGCCCCTCCAGCACTCCCCTCTTCTCTCCACCTTGGGCTCATTGGCCCAGCCTCCTTCCTGTTTAGTTGCAGCCTCTCCCTGGGCTTCTTCCCCTGCCAAGGCTGGCTGTGGACTTAGAGCTTTTTCCCAACACCTCCTGTATCCTCTCTCTGAAGCCACCCCTTGGATGGACCTTGTCTTGAGCTATATGAGTCCCCTAGTGGTCACTGTGGTGAAAGGTGAGGGGCCAGTGAATGTAGCAAGTGCAAGGAGGAGGGGGAAGATTAGGAAACCAGACTCAAACTTTCCCATCCCAAGCCCTAGTCTGCAGCTCTTGAGGCCCCAGTTCATGGTAACACCTGCTAATCAACCACTAGGTTGCAGCTGCCACAAAGGTTAATGAAACCGAGGGTCATATTAATAGAGGCCTAAGCCCAAGTTTGAAGGAGGAGGGATGGTGAGGCATGCTGTCTGCTCCCTCAAGTCCTCAGCTGCAGTCTGTGTTGCATGCCAGGTGTTGCCTCCCAAAGACTAGTGACATATGGAGGGAAAGAGGCCCAGGAGGAGTGGGGCCTGGAGCCTCACATCAGCCCTGTCTCTGTCCAGCTGAGCTATCCAGGAGACATACCCCACTCCGTTTCCCAGGAGCACGCCTCACTCCACTCGCTCCAGATCCCATTGTAGCCGTGCCCAGAAGTCTTCACTCTCACCCTGGCGTGGTATTTTGTGGAGGGCTCCAGGGCTGGCAGGGGCATGCTGTGGGCATTCAAGAGGATCTCGGTCTTGCTGTCCTGTGGGTTTGCGTGTGTCAACAAATGTGCTGAGACTGACCCCACCACCCACCATGCCCACAGGCACAGCTGCATGCTCCTCCCGCTACTGATTTTCTTTTTCCCCTTAGTGCTCAGGTGTAGCTGCACCGCAGTCTGCTCTGGCTTCACCCCCACCATGGAGGGTCCACTGCAGTGCCCAGCCAGGGATAGGACTCTGGAGGAACCAGGATCTCCACTTCTTTCAACATGGCCTTCTGACACAGGACGACACTAAGGCCCAGAACCCTGAGCAGTCACTGGGTCCCACCTTCATCTTTGTTTGTTTGTTTACTTTATTTATTTTGGGGACAAAGTCTCATTCTGTTGCCCAGTGGCCTCACCTAGCTCACAGAAACCTTAAACCCCTAGGTTCAAGTGATCGTCTGGCCTTCCTGGGAGTTGGGGCAGGACAACGAGCCCTGAGCTTGGCCCCATGAGAGACCTCTGAAGAAACGTAGCTAGGATTTTCCAACTTTTTTAAAAAAATTATTTATCTTTATTTCTTAAGTTTTTTTTGGCTGGGGCTAGGTTTGAACCCACCACCTCCAGCATATGGGACCAGTGCCCTACCCTTTTGAGCCACAGGCACTGCCTAGACTTTTCAACTTTTGAAAACCTTCTTCTCAGCCTTCTCTCACCCCTCCTAGCCCGGACAGTCTATGTTCTCTTGCAATTCAAGTTCAGATGCTAATGGACCAAATCACATCAACTCTTTGAACCTCAGCTACTTAGCCAAAAGGTGAGACAGTGACCCTTTGCCTGCAGGGTTGTGATCACCAGGTCCAGGGGCCACCTCTGACTGGCCACCTGCTGGCAGGTGCCTCCTTGACTGTTTTCTTCCCTTCCCACTATTCACCCCCTCCCGGTGCACAGCCCTTACCTTCCACGTGGCCATGTTTTTCGTGTACTGCACCTCAAAGATGTGGTCTATGTGGTTGTATTGCATTTTCCCTGCTTCCCAGCGAAGGCTGTAGCTGTCTCCGTTCTTGGTCATGTTGATGGTTGGGGGGGCCATCTGGACTGGAGAGAGGGAAAATTTTATGGGTGTTCATAACCCCTACTCTCCAATGGAACATTCCCTGTGTTCCATGCTAGACATTGGAGCTGTTTCCACTGAAACAGACTCTGGGTCGGGCACATGTTGGGGTCTTCTTGCCCCTCACTTCATGATATCATCTATTCTGTCCTAAGTAAGCATTCACTTGGGAAATGCAGTGAGACATTTGTTTTGTAATGGGGTGGGCTCAAGTTTTGGTTATTCCTAGTATTTGCAATAAAAATAAAACCATTTAATTGATTCTACTCTAGAATATTAACTACGTTCTAGGCGCTGTTGTGCAGACTCACTCTACGTGAGTTATTTCACTCAATTCTAACAGCCCTACAATGGTGGGCACTGTTAACCTTCATGTTTTAGAACAGAGGAAACTGAGTCACAGGATGATTAAATAGGTTGCCCAAGGACAGGCCGCTAATCAGCGGCGGAGGCCAAGCTGCAACCTGGGCAGTGGGATGCTCTCTACAGTGTCAGCTCTCACTCTATCCTGCTGCTTCAGGGTCTCTGAGACCTAACTCTGTCCTGTTGCTGTCCCTCGACACTCGCAGAGGTTAGGGAGATGTCTAAAAACCAGGCCAGCTCACAGGTTCTCACCACTAAAATCCCCAGTGCACTGGTGCTGACGGCCTTCAACCACAACCGCAGCTCTTTCTCCCCCACCAGATGGTGACCAAACAGAAAAGTGAAGCCCTTTGCAGACAGCACCTCCCACCTGGCCAGCAGACCCACCCGTTGAAAGAGGCCCAGGGAAAAGAGAGCAGAAACTGATGTGCAGTCAGCAGGTCTGGATTCTAGCCTCGATTTGCCTACTAATCGCTGTGCGACTTTATGTCAGTCACTCAACCACTCTGAGCTTCAATCTACTTCAATCGGGGGTGGGGGGGAAGACTCCTTATAACCTCGATTTCTTCAAAGGGCTTTTATAAAAATAACGCTAATGCCTGCAACTTATTGTGGTCTCCTATGTGCCGGACATTATTCTGGGCCCTTTAAATATTGTGTGCACTTGAACCATGGGAATTCCTTTTGCCAGCGAGGTTGGCCGAGAGAGTAAATGGTGGATTCAAGCCCAGGTGACTGAGACAAACTGGCTCCTGCTCTTGACATTAAAGACTAGATGGAAGAAAGAACTTGATTATCACAAAAGAATTTAGGAGGTTCCACTGCACTGGAGTCCTTGCAGCATAACAAGGAGAGACATAAGCTGGTGAGGATCACCAAGGTACTCACATACACACCAGCCCCGGTTAAAACATAAATCGTAGCGCAAGTATGTTGAAGGCTGAGAATGTCAGTCAGAGGAGAATGGGGGAAAACAGAGAGAAATCCAATCAGGGAACGCTTTAGTGGGAGGCCCAGGAAATGTAGCTTGAGGCCCTGTTCCCAGTCTTCATTCACATTTGTGACCATTGTCACTTGTATCATTGTTCCTTGAGAACTTCAAAACAAGATGGGAATTACTTTCGTTCACTTTTGGTCGCTGGACTGCAGTTCTTTGAAAGTGACAGGCATGAAGGTGGATATAGCACCCTGGATTTTTTCAGGTTATACAGCAAAATGGGGCTATCCTAAGACCATCGGCACGGGAGGCTGGGGAAACTCACTGTGGTCTGAGCTCTTTAAAAATTTCTCTTCCTTCCTTGGCCGAACAGAGATGGTGTACTGGCCATGGGTCCCAGGGCTGGGCACAGGGATCTGGCATTGGTGTCTGATGTAGAGGCTGCTGAGCTCTTCCGTCAGTACTGGAGAGCACTCCTCCTCCCTGAGGGACACAGCTGGGCTGAGGGCAGGGAGGAGGGAGGGACCCCAGGAGGGAGGGATGAGACCTCAGGGCGGACTATGGCTTCTTCTTGGGTTCCAGGGGACAAGAGGAGGCCTGGAGACAGCAAGGCCAAGAGGAGAGGTGGGGATGGGGGAAGAAGGTGCTCACCCTGCAGCCAGACTGGGTTTGTAGAAGAGCCCGAAGGAGACTGAGCTGGCCACCTCCATCCTCACCTCCCAGGAGCATTTGAGCCCAGCAGCCCCGTCAAAGAAGCACTGCAGGTTCTGGGGCTGGGCCTGGTCCCCTGGTGGGGAGATGGTCCTTCATTCTCTCCTCTGTTCAAACCCCCATCCCACAGCTCTCAGCAGAGGCCCACCATGGGGAGCACCACCCAGAGGTAATGGGCTTTGGAACCCACAGACCAGGGATGAAACTTGAGGCTGAACCTGCCAGCTGTGAGCCGAGACTCAGAGGGGGAAATCTGAGCACCTGCTTGGCCTCCGCCCTCTGGGGAGGACAGGACCAGTGTCTGAGTTTCAGTGTTCAGGGAATTGAACAGAATAATGTTGGTGAGCCCTGCACATATACAGTACCCATTAAAACATAGCTATTGATACTGCTATTGTTATTATTTTAATTGTTATTAGAAAGGGTGTTAGAAAAAGGATACTAAGTCTGCCTGCGTAGTAGAAAGGGGATGGCCCAGGGAAGTGATTCTACAGACAGCTCTAGGAGATCTGGGAGGCCTACAGACCTGGCTCTGGAACTCTGCTATCCCAGGAGCTCCCACTGGGCCCATTTACCTCCCGGGGCACTTCCGGGACCCCAGGTCCATTACCTGGCTGTGAGTCCCAGCGCACCTCTGGGCTCCACTCACTGGGCCGTCCAGAGAAGTCTGAGCCTGGAACCAGAAAGGTACGCACTCGGGCCACATAAGTGCTACTGGGCATGAGGTGACTGGGCCCCAGCACGACTTGGGAAGTGTTGGAGCGGAGGCTGGGGGCGTCCTGTTGGGAGAGGGTAGGTGCTAGAGGAGGTGTGCTGGTTGGTCCCTTGGGGGTCAGGCAGAGCTGGCTGTGGTTCGTACCTCCCAGGGGTCCTGAAGCCGTCTGTAGACAACCTCAAACTCCAGGTCCTCTTGTGACAGCCAGTGGGGCTGGGGACCTCCAAGAGTTACATTCCAGCTCAGCAGGAAGTGTTCCCCAATTGCACTGATCTGGAGGTCCTGGGGTGCCGGGGGCTGCACTGGAGGGGAGAGCAAGTAAAGGGAGGGCACCTGAAGCTGGTGACCAGGTGGCCTTTGGTGTGGACACACAGGGCCCCAGGCCAACCTGCCCCATCTGGTGAGGGACCCTGAGTAAGAGCCATCTGCTCTGCTGGCTCCAGCCCTCATCAGTAGCATCATGGGGTTTGAATGTGAAAGAGAATGACAGCTGGGCAGATGGTTGTACACTACAGCACCAGCTCTGTAATGCGGGCAGGAAACTCTCGGCTCAGCCTCCTGTGTCCTGAGGCTCTCCCGGTCCGTCCTGCCACCTCATGGCCTGCTCCCAGCAGAGGTATCGCACAGTCAGACTAGGCTCCTTCCTCCTGCCCTGGGCCCCTCCTGCTATCTGGGCCAAGGGTGATGCTCTTGTCCCACTGTGGCTCCTGTAAATCCTATAGTTTTATGTGCTCCATGTCTGCCTCCCCAAAGGCATGAGGAGATGGGTACAGGGGTTGGTATTGACTCCTCTTAATCTCCAGGCCTGCAATGTGGCTGAGAGTGAATCTGGGGCAAGGTGAATGGATGAATGAATGAATGAATGAATGAACGAACGAATACATATCGGCAGTCTTGGGGGCCTTTCATGAAGTCTTTCCAGCAACAGAGCAAGGGTACTTCTGCTGGGACCTACTGGGTTGGCCAAGAAGATGCATTTATGAATGACATGGCTCCTGGTTTCCTGAAGTTTTTACATTTGATTGCTGAGAGGTGACTTTGAAACATAAAATAGTCACATGAATAGGATATAAATGACCCATGCTGGACACAGAACATGGCATGTTAGAGCAGGTCAGAGGCCCAGATACAGCCAGGAAAGATGCCACTCGGGGGTCACTGCATGCCTTCCCTGACCCTGTCACCAAGGGGATCCTCCCACATAGCACTCTAGGAAGCTGCCACCAACTGAACAGATTGGGAGCCCAGTGGGGGAACCTGGAAACTGATAAAGTATCGTTTATCAGATCTCCACACATGGGGACCTCAGAGTAGATCAGATGCATATCTGTCCCCTCCCTGGCACCCTCAGCCTCAGTGACTCATCGCCAGTCACTTTAGGCTGGACCCTGCCTCCTACACAACATGTGCCCCAGAAGCCCAAGTGCCACACTCTACTCCCCATTTGTGAAGTGTCTCTGTTGCCAGCAGAAGCCTTCCCTATTTCTAGACTGAAAGCTCCAAGGGGCGAGGCTGGTGGCTGGAGTGTTCACGGCTCTCTGACATATGTAGGTGCTCAGTGAAAGAACAAGTGAAAGAGTGAATTGTGGGTTTGTCCTAACCATGACTTGCCTCCCCCATGTTTCCATTCCCATCCCTCATCTCTCCCCAAGATGCAAACCTGAGTTCATGTTCCGGGTTCTAGCCTCCCTGCCACCCCTCCTCCAGCATCCTTACACAACATCTGATCATGCCAGTCCCCTTCTGTGGCCCTCCATGCCCAGAGGGCGGCCTCTCAACTCCTCTGCATGGCACGGAAGCCCCTTTAGGCTTAGACCCCCGTGAATGTCTCCTATGTCTTCCTACCACCTGCAGCCTTCCTGAAGTCCGTGTTCTTCAGACGCAATGACCAGTACCCTGTACCCTCCCCACCTCCCAGGCTTTGCACAGGCTGTTACTCCTGCCAGGAAGGCTCTTCCCACCCTGCAGATTTGGGCTAAAAGCTCTTTCTTCTGTCCTGTCTGCTAGGGCCAGGGCTCTCTGCCAGCTACCTGAGGCACATGCTGGTGTCAGTAAACTCTCATGCAAAACAACATCAGGCATTTCCTGCCTGCTGGCTCTGAGCTCAAACAGAGGAGACTGTCTCATCCATCACACACATGTTTGGAAACTGTGCTCCTGATGACCTAACCCGTTCCCTTTTTGAGCACCAACTTCATGAGGCTGTGTCAAAAAAAAGCCCCCTCCCCTCTGACCCTTGCCAGAAGCTGCAGAGGGTCTGGGGACTAGGACCAGAGGCCCAAGAGTCAGTCCTTCCTGGGTGGGAATCTCAGCTCTGCCAGTGGCAGCTGAAAAGACTTGGCAAGTCACTTCCCTGCCTATGTCGCTTTCATCAGTAGCCAGAAGGCAGTGAGAATAGTGCCTAGGCTGGTGCGGCTTGGATTGTTATGTGAGAGCCTGCTACCTGCCACCCACTATCCGCGTGGCTCCTGCAGTGTCAATGTGAACTTGTTTAAAAATGCCTCCACATTTTATAACCTCATTATATGTAATAACTTCCTTGAATCCATGAGTTTGAAGGCTGGTTGTATTTCTTTATAATATAGAATCCAACAAATACTAACTACAGGAAGCGATCATCTACACCCATGCAATGCCATGGACCATTTCACGGACCACTGTGGCCTCCTGGAGCACATGGGCCAGCAGCTCTGAGTCCAGCAGGCACGAAGCCCTTGGGAAGGTTGACCTTTCATGATCACTACTTCTCAGGGCTGGGACTCTGGGAAAGTGATGTGACCTCCCTGGGCCTTAAAGGCTTTATCTGTATAATGGGTTGTGGTAGAAACGACTATGAGACAAGTAAGATGAAAGATTTGTAAGCTGGTCATTTCTGTGTGAGTCATCAGAATGGTTTCTTTCTTTCTTTCTTTCTTTTTGAGCCAGAGCCTCAAGCTGTTGCCCTGGGTAGAGTGCTGTGGTATCATAGCTCACAGCAACCTCCAACTCCTGAGCTCAAGCAAGTCTCCTGCCTCCGCCTCCCAGGTAGCTGGGACTACAGGCACCCGCCAAAATTTCCAGCTATTTTTTGGTTACAGCCATCATTGTTGTTTGGCGGGCCCAGGCTGGATTCAAACCTGCCACCTTAGGTGTATGTGGCCGGCGCCTGAGCTGCTTGAGCCACAGGTGCCGAGCCCAGAATGGTTTCTTGAAGGAAAGCATTCAGAGCTGGAACCCATGGCTTGGGAGGAGGTGGGGCAGCTGGGGAGGGGGTTAGGGGTTCCTTTGTCAGGGGCTCCCCACGTGGTACTGGCTCTGATGCCTTCATGTAAGGAAATCAGATCTTCATCCCTCAGGCCCCAAGCCAGTGTTCCCCTCTTGAACACTCCCTGGGCCACCCCTGATGCCCACTGTCTAACAGGTACCAAGCCCTGCCTCCCCCTCTCACCATGCTGAGCCAGAGTCACAGTGAGCTGGACACCCAGGGGCCGATCTGGCTGGAATGAGTAGTAGTCATTTTCGGCAAAGACGAAGAGCTTGTAGGGAATGACACATCTCCGGGCCACACAGTGGGGATATGGGCAGTTTGGCCAGTGCTTGTCCTTACTGAGTTCACAGGACGCTGGCTCCGGGGGGGCCCTATCAAGGGAGAACATGGCTTAGCCCAGAGGAAATGAGAGTCACTAGCTCAGCAAGTATCCATAGAGTGGTTACCCTGTGCCTGTCTTTGTCCAGAATCAGGGCCTGTCAGTGACCAAAACACACACAATCCCCTGTCCGTGGCACTGCCCCCAGGGGGGAGGAGACCCACATAAAACAGCTGAATAACATACGTAGTTTGTCAAATGGAGAAAATCTCATGTAGCTACAAGAGGCAGGGAAGGGAGTGTGGTCCTGACGGGATGAGGTGCACCTGGAGATGGGTGCCAGGGATGGCATTCAGGGTGGGTGACCCCAGGGCCACACCAGTGACTGAGCCCTGGGGTGTCCAGTACAGGGGTGGGAGCAGAGGAAATCAGGGGGCAGGAGGCAGGAGGACCACCAGGTGATGGAGTGACCACTGGCCATAGGAGAGCATGACGCAAGAGGAGTGAGGTCACAGCTGGGACAGGTCAAGTGTAAGAGGCTGAGGATTGACCATTAGGGTCAGCAATAGGAGGTCACTGGTGAATTCCACAAGGAAACTGGCTGAGAGGGTGGGGGTGGGGGTGAAAGCCAGATCTCATGGATTCCAGGCAAGTCCCTGGGAAAAGCGGAGGGTGTCGTTGTCAAGGGAGCAAGAGGCTGTGGGATTGGGAGCCACCTGGGGGCTGTGTCACTGTTGACATGTGTGAAGGGGGTTGGGCGTGTTTGCAGGGTGACTGAGAAGGATCCCAGTAGAGGGCACTATTGCTGGCACAGGGAGAGAGGGCACTGGGTTGACAGGGACGTAGGTCCTTAAGCAGCATGACCAGGTGGGACGCAGGCCCGGGCCTGAGATAAGAGCTGGTTTGGGTGATCATCTGCCAGGGAAAGGGAGGGCCAGGGCCAGGGCCAGGGCGGTAGGCAGATGTGGGTGGGGTGAGAGTGAGGGACTGGGAGTGTCTCCCGGGGGCAGCAGGAAGCAGTTCACATCCAAGTGGGAGGATGAGGTGGGATTGCTGAAAGCAGAGAAAGCCGGATGGCAGTGTCTGCGAGAGCAGCATGGGGAACTGGAGACCTGCAGGGGGGCCTCCCCCACCCCATCCCACCCTGGGCAGCCTCCAAGGAGATGTTGCTGGTCACTTTGGCTTTAGCTCTTTAATCATTTTACTTATGTTCCATTTAGTCGCTCACCAACATCCCAGAGTGATTGCCATCACCTTCCCTGTGTCATGTGCCCTGGAGACCTCAGGGTGAGAAGGCAGACCCCTCACGTGCCATTCACTACCATGTGGCCAGGATGCAGGTCTCACCTCCACGGCCTCAGTTTCCTCACCTGCGAAATGGGCCTCCTGGTCCTGTCCTGCTCTGCCTGCCTCACGGTAAGGAGGAAGTAAGAGAGGTCATGTGGGGTAATTTTGTCAATTGTGATGATGAAATAACAAAGATTATCACCAGCTACATTAGCAGAGAAGCCCTGTGTAGGAACCTGAGGGCAGAGGGCAGTGCTTGTCCTGGCTGCCCAGCAGGGCAGGCTGTCCAGTCCCTCCCAAGGCAGACCTGAGATGTCCCTCTCTATACTGCAGCCCCAGACCAAGGACAGCAGACACAGCAGTCCCCGTCCCACTCCCTGCACTGTCACTGAGTGTCACTGCAGCGTCACTTACTCATCCACCCGGCGATAGAGGGTCAAGTTGACAAGCCGCTGAGAGTCCTGGGTGTCTGCCCACCTGCAGATGATGTGGCTGGTGTAATCATTATAGCAGCTCAGGGTCTGCAGTGGGATGGTTTCTGATGGAGAGAGGCAGGAGAGGGTCACCACTCTTCCCAGCAGGGTCCACTGTCACTGTTCCTCCCAGCTCTTCCTGGGCACCTAGCCCTGGGGAAAGATCTCCCTCGTTCCTGCATGAGCATCTGGTGGCCAGGAAGAGGTCCCTAGGTGGGGGCAGGGCCTGTATGGGGTCCCACCTGTGGACCCTCCTCTCCTGAGGGAAACACAGTGCTCATGCTGGCTCTCAGCACCCTGCCTGGGCCCTTGCTGTGTGCTGTCCCCCACCCCTACCCCCTGTCCCCGGGTCAGAGACATATGTCAGGCTCTGCCCCACACTTTTAACCCACTAAGCAGCCTAGGAGTAGGCACAAACCCTCCCCAAGTTTCAGTGTGGCAGTGCCGTCCCCTGGGGCCTCCCATCTGACTTCTGGGCCTCAGCCTCGGAGGCTGGTGTTTGGAGAAGGGAGTGTGATGCCCACATTTGTCCCGAAAGCTGGTTCTCTGTGGGCTCTGGGAGGTATCACTGTGCCCTGGGAGCTCAGGACCTTCCCAGCCAGACCTCTAGGCAAAAGGAAGGTGCTAGGGCTGAAGCAGGGACAGAACCCCAAGCCCAGGGCCCTGCAAGACAAAGGCGTAGAGGTAGGCCCCTAGAGGCTGCCAGGGAGCAGATTAGCTGCTGGGAAGGAGGGAGAGCAAAAGGCCAGAGCAGCTACCGTGAGGACCAGAACCTGGACGGCTACGCTAAGAGACATGGGAAGAGCAGCCAGACTGCCTGGGCTGGGTGATCTAGACCAGGAAATGATGGGCAGGGACATGTAGGAGAATGAATTGAGGGGAGGAGGCCAGGGCAGACAGGGGTGGAGAGTGGAAAGGGGACAGAAGAGGAAAGCTGTGTCCTGGGGGATGCAGGGGTGGGAGTCCCCCAGGGCCCAGCAGCAAGGATAGAGCAGGGACTCACCTGCCTGAGCCAGACTGGATGCCCAGTACAGGGCCAGCAGAGCTGTGGGGAATAGCCCTGAGGTCAGCACCATCTCCCTGGTCAGCTCTGGACAAGCAGGTGGGTTGGGTTGTAGGCAGGGTCGGGGTCCTCAGTGCTCCAGAATCTTGTGTTCCTGCCCATCAGGAGCCCAGCTGAGACCCACGTCCCAGGCCCTTCCTCCTGGGCTCTGTCTCCTGTAGGCTTACAGAAAGAGATGTCACCTGGAGCTGACCCTCCTCTCCTCATAGTCCTGGAGATACACCCAAAGTTTTAAGGGGAATCCACAGTGGTGGCTTGATACCTAGGGACAATTTCATCTCAATCTCCTTGGGCATAATGGTTCTGACATGAGTTTTATGGCCTTGGGGGCAGTGGGTGTCCATTCTGGTTGTCAATACCTACCACTAGGCCTGCCCCAGAGAGGACAGCTGAGAGAGAGCCTGGAATTTGATTTGTATCAAGCTTCCTATGGCATTCTGATCCACATCCACTTTGGTGTGTGTATGATCACACCCCCACGCATACACTTGCATGCTCTCTGGAACATAGGGACCCCCCCCCAGTAACCCCTGCCCTCCCCCCACTTATTGTCTCTCCTCCTCCAACATTCTCTGCAGGCAGTTCCTTTTTCTCTGCAGGGGCTGGGGATTTCCTTATTTTCATTTCGTCAGCTTGGGAAGTACCCAGGAGAGTACAAGAGAGGACTGTGGCTCCCTTTCTTCTGTAAGATTATTTGAAATATCATTCAAGATATTCACACAGGTGCGTGCATACATACAAAATAGCCCCATGGGCATGCTGGCCAGAAGCAAAGTCTATTTTATCCAATAAGGGGCTATATGAGGAACCCAGAATCAATGGGAGGTGATGGAATATTCAAGTCAAAGTGCTGAGATAATTGAATAACTACATAAAAAATATCAGTCTAAATCTCCATCTCACACCATCCTCCAAATATCAAGTTAAAAATTTAAATGTAAAATGTTAAATCACATTAAACTCACAAACCATAGAAGTGAATACCTTTGAGCTATTTAAGCCTAACAGCAGTGGAAGAAATCAAAGGGCCAAAGACTGACAGATGGAAGCACAGAAAGCAAAATCTTTTGTATTTTATAAAATTTGCTGAATTATAAAGCAAAGGGCAAAGTGCAAAAAATAATAGTTTGCACCAATGTATTAATCCATTAAGGCAACTATAAGGAAATACCATAGACTAGATAGCTTATAAACAACAGACATTTATCTCCCACAGTTCTGAAGGCTGGGAAGTTCAAGATCAAGGTGCTGGTAGATTTAGTATCTGGTGGGGGCCTGTTTCTCGTAGACTATAAGCTCACATGGCGGAGAGGTGTGGGAGCTCTTGGGGCCCTTTCAGAGGTGCCAATCCCTCCCCACCAAGGCCCTCCAGGTATTCTCATGTTGGGGATTAAGTTTCAACATGTGAATTTTAGGAGAATACAAAGCAATCAAAATGACAAACATAGCAATCAAAATGACAACAGACAAGTTAGTATCTTTCAATGTAAAATGTTAAAAGAATTTAATGTCAGCAAAGAAAACCAACACAATATTCACAAACACAGAGAGAATTCATGCTGGAGGCTAACATGAGGTAAGAGCAGGGGTTTCACCTGCCCAGTGCTAGACTACTTAGAGGGCCATAGAGATGCTAATACATCTATGTAGAAGTTACCATTAGAACGCCCACTGTATATATGACGAGGATGGAGTAGGGATGCTCAGTGATTGGTCCCTAATTACACAGCTGGTAAGGAACCAGCTTGCCCATCTAGACTGTATCCTTATCCACAATGTGCTTGTATTTCCCAGTCTCCAGTATCATGTGTGTCTATTCAGGCTCCTACTGACCCAACAGATACTTCTGCAGACAAGCACAGAAACAGCACAAAGAAAACTCTACAACATCTAGATTGGCATCCTTGGAGACATTTGAGAAGTCCCAGCCATTTAGGAAAGAATGCTTTGTAAAAAACAGAATTCTTGGAATTTGAAGATCTGGGATCCATAATTTTAAAAAATCTCAATAATGGGCCATATTAGTGTGAGTGAACTTCATACTTGGAAAAGGTAGATATTAAAGAAAGAGCAAATAGGCATGGAAATGAAAAGTTTGAGAGAAAAGTGAAGAATTGGGACCAAGATCCAAGAACTCCAACAATCAGAAGCAGAGGGCAGAGAGAACTGAGGGCAGGTATAGTGTCAGTTACCTAGTTGTCCCCATTCTCCTTGCCACAAAAGCATAGGCTTAACTGTGTTTATTGGCGCACAGGATAACAGGTTGTATTTTTTACGCTCTCCTGAGGCTTCATCTAAATGTTGTTCGAGGAGATGTGAGTGGAAGCATTGTGCATGTCTTCCCAAAAAGCCGGCTTAAAAGTAGTCAACTCAGGTGGGTGGGATCCACTTTCACCCTTTTGCCTTTCCTTCTTCTTCCAGCCTGCAACTTGGAAGTGATAGCTGGACCTCCAGTAGCTGTTTGGGGCCATAGGATTATCTTGAGGATGGAAGCCATAAGCAAGGTTGAAACAGCAGAGAGGAAGCTGGATTCCTATTGTCACTCTGGAGCAACCCCACCAGCCTGAGACCACCCACCTGTGGACATCCTTTATGTGAGGGGAAAAAGAAGCTTCTGTGTTGTTAAGCCACTGTTGTTTGGAGATTTTCCATGTGCAACCAGATACAATTGGAAATAGAAGAAAACTTCACGGGGCTTTGAAGGAAACAACAGTCCATTAAATACAGAACAAGTTTCCTTTAAAAAATATTTTTAAAAAATAGTAAGGAAGACTTTATTCATGGGGGGCTACTATAATAGGCTTTATAGGAGGGGATAAAGATTGGGTTTTACTTTCAAGATTGCTTTTTAATAGTGCTATACCCAATTCACACCTCTAAACTTTCAGTCTCCCAAGAATAAAAGGGTAATCCCAGAAACATTCCAAAGGAAAACAAACACACAGGTTACTTTCAATAGAACAGGAGTCAGATTGGCAAGAGATTTCTTACCAGTGATCCTGAACACTAAATAGAGGTAAAAGAAAAAAAAAGTACCAAGGGAAAAATATATCTAAACTTAGAATCACAAAATACCAAGTTTTCTTTGACATTCAAGGACAACAAAAACTTTTGGATTTGTAAAGACAAAGTTTTTCAGATCCTTTCTGGAAAACGAAAATTACCCTAGGATATATCTCAGGGAAAAAAAAAAAAAAACCTCCAAGAAGGAAAGATAGGATGCAATACTAAAGCAAAGAAACTATTTGTAGGTAGATAAAGGAGATGGTTATTGCATAAAGTAAAAATAAATAAATATATGATAACAATATTGAACTAAAACTCAGATGATTTCAATTGTTGGGAGTTGGTGGTGAGGTTGAGGTGGAGAGTAAAGGAGAAATGAAAACTTGCTAAGGACTTGTCTTATTGGGCTGATTAAATCCAAACGCTGGTAGAAAATATCTGTTAAATACATATGTTTAAAAACGTAAGGATTAAAACTCATTCAGGATGAGGAAGTAAGCATGGAGACAGAAGGCTGACAGAGAAGTGGTGGAAAGTAAGAGAAAAGGGGAGGGAGAAAAGAGAAGACAAACACCAAACACCTTCACACTCAAGATAAACGCACATATACCACTTCCCAAGTTTATGAAGAAATTAATGATAGAAACCAAAACTAGGGGGATAAAAGCACAACACAAATTCACCCCAAACAAAAACAACTTCATAGCACAATCTGACAAAGACTTCTTTTTTTTTTTTTTTTTGAGACAGAGCCTCAAGCTGTCCCCTGGGTAGAGTGCCGTGGCATCACAGCTCACATCAACCTCCAACTCCTGGGCTCAAGCGAGTCTCCTGCCTCCACCTCCCAAGTAGCTGGGACCACAGGCGCCCGCCACAATGCCCGGCTATTTTTTGGTCGCAGCCGACATTGTTGTTTGGCGGGTCCAGGCTGGGGATTTGAACCCACCACCTTAGGTGTACGTGGCTGGCGCCTTAGCCAGTTGAGCTATAGGAGCTGAGCCCTGACAAAGACTTCTAAAAGAAGAATGCACCATGGCCAGGTGGAGCGTATCCATATATGAAAAGTGACATCTTAAGAAATCTACTTATGATTAAAAGGAATTGATGAACAGATTTAAAGGGGGGAAAAAGGATAAGTTTATTTTGACAGAGGCTCCTACATATTTAATAATACACAAATCATTTCTGATTAAATGGACAAACCCCGGTAAAGGAAGAGTTGGAGGAAACTGAATATCTGCTGAAACTGAGAGCAATGTTACAGTTAAAGAAGAATGTTCGTGCCTTCCTGTCCAAGGCACAAGGAGGAGGAGGCTCTCACTGTTGTCTTTATCTCCAGTCATTGACCCCCTCAAATAATCTCTAAATTCAACGCAATCAAAATGAAAACCCCAAAAGATTTATAATGGGCTTGACAAACTGATTCTAAATTATAATAAACCGAAGATGAAAGACTGGCTCTATTACCTGGAAAAATAATAAGGAGCAAAATGGTAGATGAAAGAGAAAACAAAATGCAAAATAACCGAGTATATATAGGCCTTTAGACGTAATAAGGGCATTTCAAATCACTGAGGAGAGGACGGACAGCAACATTCCTAAATAACAACGTTGAGACAGATGATAATTATTTTAAAAAGTTAGGTTGTTCCTTTGTACATTCCTCACCCCTCCAAAGTCTAAATGGATTAAAAATCTAAAGGTCAAAATCAAAATAATAGAAGTATTAAAAATAAGTTTGTAAATATTAACTATAAATCATAAAGGAAAAAATAAGGACAGATTTGACTTCACAATCAAAACCTTTTTACTTGACAGAAGATGCCTTAAACATGGCAAAGGAGAAAGATAAGTGATAATCTGGGGGAAGGGGTTTTCAACATATGTAGATGAATTGTGAATACACATCATTCCGAAAGTTGAGATGAAAAAGACAACAACCCCCTGGGAGATGGACAAAGGACATCTTCATGTTCATCATAAATGAAATGGAATGGTCAATAAATGTTTGGGAGATGCACAGCCTCACTCATAATCAGGGAATGAAAAACATGAAACAACAATAAAATAATTTTCATTCATCACACGGACCAAATTAAAAGACTGATAATTTACCCAAAGATAAATTGACCTTCTTATCTACTATCTGGGGTCTGTTCAGCTACTTAGAGGATGACTTGATAATACCTATTAAAATTTCAAATGTATAGCCTCTCACAAAGTAATTTCATGTCTAGGAATCTAAGCTAGACAGAAACACTTTCATAGATGTGGAAAATTGGAAACGACATAAGCATCTATCAGTATGAGATCAGGAAAACTGTAGTGTGCCCATGGTAATAAATGCCACATATTTCTTAAGGTCAATGAATGACTTAAATCTATATGTAATATTGTGGGAATCTGGAAATATTACAAAATGTAATGTTAGGTGAAAAAAATCCCATTTCTATAAGAAGAAAAACTATGGGCTTGGCGCCTGTGGCTCAAGCGGCTAAGGCGCCAGCCACGTACACCTAAGGTGGCAGGTTCAAATCCAGCCCGGACCTGCCAAACAACAATAATGGCTGCAACCAAAAAATGGCCGGGCGTTGTGGCGGG